GACTATATATCTTCTCTCTAGTCTATCAGTAGCCAAATCCCTCTATTTGATTAGAGCAGACCAAGAGTTGGAGGTGGTTGCTATTGACTATATATCTTCTCTCTAGTCTATCAGTAGCCAAATCCCTCTATTTGATTAGAGCAGACCAAGAGTTGGAGGTGGTTGCTATTGACTAGATATCTTCTCTCTAGTCTATCAGTAGCCAAATCCCCCTATTTGATTAGAGCAGACCAAGAGTTGGAGGTGGTTGCTGTCTGTCAGTTTAAAATTAGGCACAGCTAGTGCAGTTGGCCCAATTGGAATAATAATTACTTAACCAACTGATTGTTTTTATTTCATAATTTACAATGCTTTTCCTCGTATAGATATATACACGTACTGAGTGCCCCTTGGTAATTTGAATAATTATTGTTAACAAAAACTAAACTCGTGTCGTTCTATTAACTTTACGGGACTTAATGCGTCGAAACTTCATTACCGAACGTGCTTTCCAACCAACTGGTGGAAGAAGACAGAACCATTTCTTGTTTTCAGACTATAATGACGTCCGTACCCTCCTCCTTCGTATGATACCCACGACTGCCAACAACGTTTCATGGTGTTGCCATAGTAACGCAACAAGTTCCGGCGTCAATATTGTAGCGTAGCAACGTCCCTTGTTCAGTATTTCCTGCGTTGGATCTATTCTATCAGATTTAAGCGGGGCTGAAATTAATCAAATGAGAAACCAATCATGTGCTCTTCCAATGCTTGCTGCATACGGTAACTTTACATTTAGATCCTAATCAGGCAACCTTAATATGCAAGAACCTTTAACAATATAAATGTTATTCATGTGATCAATACAAGTGGCTCCCCCTTTTATTTAACTACTCGTGTGAGGCCATAAGTTGTATTGCATTTTTGTGTTTGTATTTTAACGCAAAGCCACAGAAAAACTATCTGCGCTCTGTCAACTACAGTGAATCGAACCCCAGATTTTAGCGTTGTGACACTGAAGAATAACACCTAAATACAACAGTAGCAAGTCTAATCTGTACAAGTTTAACAACAACAAAAACGACAGTTATCTTCCTTACGATCCACACTCTGTACCTTGATATCATATATCCTTTTATCTTTCAGATATCCTGGGCTCTATCATGATCTGGTGGTTAGGGCACTCGACTCGCAATCTGCGGTTCGTGGGCTCGAATACCGTCACCAAATGTGTTTGCCTTTTAGTCGTGGGGACGTTATAATGTGTTGATCAATTCGTTGGTAAAAAGTGGCCTTAGAGTTGGCGGTAGGTGGTGTTGAATAGCTGCCTTCCCTCTAGTTTCTCACTTCAAAATTAGCGACAGCTAATGCAGATAGCCCAGGAGTAGCTTTTTGCGAAATACAACAAAGAAACAGAAATCCTGAGAGGTTTGTCAGTTTGTTTCCTTAGCAATTCTATTGAGAAAAGTCGACTTTGTTTCAAGATATCTTCAATCTATGCGTGTAATAAGAAGCTTCATTGAAATTCCGAAGCAATCTTTGGAAACATTAAATCTTGCCACTAAGATCATTTTAAATGGCATGCCTTTTTTGTGTTGCTTAATCAGTCCTAACATTTAACATTTTTTTATTCTTTTTTCATGTGGTCTCTCGGTGGTACAGCGATCCGAGGTTCGATTCCCTGCGTTCGACATAGCCGATAGCCCAATGTGTCTTTGCTCTAAAACAAAGAAGCTTCTTTATATGTAAGTCAAACTAAACTAACACATATAATTGCGATCAGCCAGTTTAAAAGCAATGGTCTTAATATCTTCAATATGATAATCATGAGGACTGGATAATACTTTCCAGTCTGAGTCACACGAGGACGATTATCGCCTCGTGTGACTTCTTATTCATGTATTATCTATAGATTATCATAGATAATACACGAATAAGAAGTCACACGAGGTAGATTATCATAGATAATACATCAATAAGAAGTCACACGAGGACGATTATCATAGATAATACATCAATAAGAAGTCACACGAGGAAGATTATCATAGATAATACATGAATAACAAGTCACACAAGGAAGATTATCATAGATAATACATGAATAAGAAGTCACACGAGGAAGATTATCATAGATAATACATCAATAAGAAGTCACACGAGGATAATTATCATAGATAATACATGAACAAGAAGTCACACGAGAACGATTATCATAGATAATACATGAACAAGAAGTCACACTATGATTAGTCCCTATTCAAGCAAGTTTTCAAATTACGACTGGTATATATAATTGACAATTTTCAATGTATATAACCTAGTGGTTATGTACTGTTATGCACGGAGTGTTAAGTTCGTGGGTTATATACTTTACGTAAGGTTATATTTAGAAACTAGAGTAAAATCAATCTTTGTTCATAAATTTCATTTTTGCTGTAATGAATTTCGTCGCCTCAGGTTGAATTGAACCGTATCAATGATACCGTTTTAAATAAATACTGAAGGCTAAACACACCCCGATCTGGAGATTAAATCAAGAATTCTCATACATGGTAGCACCAGCACGTGCGAAGTTCACGTGTTTCGTACCACACTGCAAGCATATATAATAACATGAAGTTTTTATCTGCAAAACACCAAGGGTTTTTAGACACTTTTACTTGTTTCTTAATAGATGGATTTTTTATGTTTCATGGTTCATGAAAACAGTCACAGTGTGTCTGTCTGTAGAGTTACGTAGGTTAAGCACAAAGCTACATAATAGGCTATTTGAGCAGGTATTGAAAACAGAATTTTAGTGTTGTCAACTCTCAGGTTCGTGTTCAGAAAGATCACAACATATTTTATAAACACGTGTTCTGCTTGGCTGGAGGAAAAACACTAACAGAGTGATTCATATTGGCAAATCCTTCACTAGAATATACAAGGATGAAGTTATAATCTTACAGTTACGTCAGCTGAAACGGAGGAAGTTTCTTTATAATTGTTATAATAGATAAAGTTATAATCTTACAGTTACGTCAGCTGAAACGGAGGAAGTTTCTTTATAATTGTTATAATAGATAAAGTTATAATCTTACAGTTACGTCAGCTGAAGCGGAGGAAGTTTTTTTAGAATTATTATAATAGACGTAAAAGAGGCTTAAGGGATCATCTAAGATGGATCTAGTTACTTATCACTTGATATATTTTAGGCTAAACGACCAAGAAGGTAAGGAAAGTATAACA